GTGTGAAATTGGTTATGACAGCAGGCACAGCAAGAGTGGAGTCCTCGGTTACCTTTGTCACTGTGCAGCGTGTGCTGCAGGCTGTGTCCCAGGGCAGCCCAGCGCCTGTGGGGAGGACATCAAAGCAGTGACAAGCCGAGGTGCTGCCCAGGGTGATGTGCAGAGTGATGCTCCCTCCACACCTCCACAGTGCTGGCAGGCCCCTGCCAGGCCACGCAAGCTCTGGCACCTCTGGCCAAGCAACAGGGATTGTTGACAGCAGGGAGACCCCTGAGGCTTTCAGTGTTCCTGAGTTAAGTCCTTGAGGTGAACGCACAGTGGGGGTTTGTCAGTCTAGATTGCCATTTGCTTAGAGAAATGAAATTCTCCTGAAATGTCAGCACTGACCTTTTTTGCATCCTTTAGAGAATTCCTTTTGCTTTAAGCAATTAAACGAGAGCTTTCCTACAGTTTTTGCTGTGCTTCTTTATAAGTACACTCAGTACTCCTCCATGGTGAGCCACTGAGGTAACACAGTCACTGTTCCTTCAACACTCCCATGATCCTTGTGCCATCTCCTTGATGCCTCTTCAAATCCTTTGTGTTTACTTTGCTTATCAGCACATGCTCTATGTGCCATAGATATTGCTTTTTCACTTAGGTGTGCACAGCTTCCCACAGGCAGTTGAAATAATCTCCAAATACCTGGATTCAAGATTCATACTAAAGTCGCACCATCTGGCTCATTTTGAAAGTGAAGCAAGCAAATTATACATATATTCCTTCTTAGATCAAAAGGCAAATGCCACTCTATCTCTGCTAAAGGGCAGACATTTATCTGAAACACCATTTTAAAGAGCTAGAAATAGCTCAAAATACTCCAGCATCTGATGCTTGAACAGAAAAGAAGCAGGCAGGATGTCTAGCTGCCTTGGCAAGCCATATCTGTTCTTTAAGTCTTTTTGTACAGACCACAATGAGAGAGCAGATCCATTAATGAGAATATTCCTGATACCTTTCCCATTGGGAGCATCTGATTCATTGCACAGCTAGCAATGCTTCACTGAGCACGAGGAAACAGTTCTGAAGGCAATGGGGAGGGGAGCATCTCTCCTTAAAGCCATCGTTTCAATCCCCACCTATTCCAGCTACATGCACTGCAAATATCTTCTTGCAGTGCTGCAGAGGCCTTTGTCCTTCGCTGAGCATTTTGGTGTGATTTCAAACAGCATTTGTCCTTTTATTCTATTCTGAATAACTTGTTTGCTGTGCAGTAGCATATTTGTCTTGCTTGTTTCTTGGAGAGATTAGAAATGTAGCCCTTTCAGCGAAGGTTTACTTTAACACTGAGAGATCCCTAAAAGCAGGATAAATTACTACTCCTACATGACAACAAGCAGCACAGCCAAGGGTGGTGTACCTGTGGATCTCCATTTACTGGAATGTTGCTTGGCTGGCTACAGATTGCACTGAAGCCTCCAGCTCTCTGTCATCCTGTTCATGTGCTTTTTTATGGGATGATTGTGGGACACTCTGCACAGACCAGAGGTACAGCTTATGGGTGTTGAAGCAGTGGTTTTGCATGTGATAGGCTGAGATGACAATTTTAATAGATACGGAGAGAGAGGGGGAGAAAAAGCCAACAACCTTTCTATAAAAAACTCAGTTTTGCTCTATGCAGGCTGTATCTGCTAAATTTGTTAAGAAGCAAAGCAAGGATTTTGTCATTGTCCATGGCTGATCTTTTTTTCCCTAAGCAGAGCTCAGTGATGTGTGTACCTCAGCCACTTTATGGCATACAGTGCATACATTCTGCATAAAAACTGAATTATCATCATCAATGTAGTTCATTCTGGGAATGACTAAAATAAAGAAATATTTGTGTAACTGGAATTTTCTTCCAAGAGCCTGAAGAAGTGTTTTGTTTTCTTCCATCTTCTCAAGAAGATGATTTTCAAGTGGTAACATATGGTTGAAATGCCATGTTCAGCATCTAACAATAAAACATAAGCTCTTTCTAGTGGTGGTTCACCAATTTTGGAGCAAGCTATTGTAGCTGTACTGCTGCCAGTGTTCCTTGTGGAGAGCTGAGAATGATGGGCCTGGGGTTCTCATAAATTAAAAGGCCTAAACATCCCCCTTGTGGCAAAATACAGTGTCACAAAAGTGATCAGAGTTTTAGCCCATTAAATTAAGTGATTGTCTGTGCTTTGAGCAATTCTGGGAGAGGCTGGAAAGCTTCCACACCCTCAGATAAAAAATGAGTGCATGTAGATTCCAAGCCTTACCTTGACATATATTCCTACAGCCACCCGGGCTTAGTTCCCAAGAAAAAAACTTAAACATTTATTAGCATTTGAGTCATGTAGTTTTGGGTCCATTTCACTGAAAGGGAACAGTCATATATTTTGCAACTTTGTATTAAATAACTGTGATCTGAGGTACCCCTGAGGATAAAAGACAAAGTGACCAGTGTTAATTTTGTGATCATAGTGTAAAATTTGTTACAATAATAAATCATGACAAGTAATTTAACATGCACAAGATTCACTAAATCTACTTAGAGACCAAGAACACATTTCAGATAATACAAGTGTTTGGTTCCTGGCATGTGTTCTTTCTCCCACTGAGTTTATTTTTGTTTAGTTTTCACTAAAAGCCTTCTAGGGCTCTTTGGGGTTTCATTGTATGACAAGCAGAGCATCTGATAAATTGAAAGGCCCAGTGCCCCAAAGTAACACTTGCTCTTTTGGAACAAGTTGGTCCTGTCTGTGCCTAACAAGGGGAAGGATACCTGGCACCCTTGGCAGAGGTGCCCCAGTGCTCTTTGAGGGCTCAGCTTGATGGTTTGTTGCCACAGTAGCAGTGAGTCAACACAAAACACTTCTAGAAGAAAGCATAACCTAAATACTTCCGCTCCCCCCTTATTTGTTTCTTTTTTCATTGTTCATTTATTAATCTCCCTTTTTAGTTGTGAAAGTCACATTCCTGATGTTCCTTTTTTTAGGATGCAGAGTCAAGTCTGTCTGCCAGACACCTGCAGTCTCTCCAGGGCAGGGGGATTGTGCTTTAGAGCAGGCTCTGGCTCTTCAGGCCTTTTCACCAACTCCAGCATGTGCCACCTCCACTGTTGATGTGAGAAATTACTCAGGACTGAGGTGATGGCAGTGCTCAGACATACTAAGCAAATGGGACGCTTGCCAAGATGTTAAGAGGTCACAGACTGGCAGTTGAGAGATAAGAGCACATATCAGCTCATACTTCCCAGATGAATAAATATGGCTTGGAAAGGTTTTATCATTACCTTTAATGCTATGCACTTGAAGGAAAGCAGCTAATTAAACCTCTCAGCTGGTGAAGTGGAATTTGCAGCAAAAGCTGTGTTGTAGTTCCATGAAAAAATTTCTTTTGAATATTTTAGAAGTTGCCATTTCTAAACCCTGCCTTTGTTTTCTTTGGCCCCAAATGTTTGTTTCACTAAATGTGATCAAATAGAAACACTGTTGGAAATCTCTCAGCTGTTGCTTCCAGAGTTTCTGAAGATACAAGTATCCAAGATTTTACAGAAAGCCAGGAAAGTTCATGACGCTGACCTCACAGAGTGACCAGCTCCAGCTGCTGCCCTGTGGAAACCTGGGTCATGCAGCTCACGGCTGGCCTTACCCAAGGAGACCCCAGAGCCCTGCTGCAGCCCTTCCCTCGTGTCTCTGGACAGCTCTGCTTTGCAGGACACTGCCCAGATCCCTGCTCCAGCACCTTCCTTGGGTGCTAGGAAATGATACAGCTCCTCTCCCAGTACATCACTAAAAGCTGGGCTTATATGGATACTTCCAGCCCTTTCCCAGCAGCCACAGCTTCTCTGGATACTCTGGCTAAATTGCTGGGGAATCTCAAGGATTCTCTCTGGAGGAAAGCTCTTGGACTAGGACAGTGTTAGATCCAGGTTCCCCAGAGAACAGCAGAGCCCCCAGCACCAGGGCAGAATTAGAGCTGCCCAGAGCATTCCCCAGAGCATTCCCCAGAGAACAGCAGAGCCCCCAGCACACCTTGTGTACCACAGAACATTGCAAACAAGGTATCAACCCCAGTTCCTCGCATCTCACACCAATCCTCTTCCATGCTCTTCCTGCAGCATCACTGTAAAATACAGCAAAGGTTATTTGTTGCTCCCTCAGCACTGTTGTATTGTTTTCTTTCATGAAAGAACAATTCCCTAAACCAACACTTTCAGAAGCACTTGATCTTCCCAAGAGCTGTCCACATACCAGGAGGCAATTCTTGCCCTGATTGATCTGCTTGTAGAAATTTCTCTCCCATTTGAAGTGAAGGTGGAAAAAAACCACTGTATTGAAAACGCAGAACATGCAGACACTGTTCACTATTTATGTGGCCCCTATTACATACGTGGTGAGAAAGTTTATTGCACAGCATTTATCTTATGGAAACTTTAGAGAAAAGCATGCTCCTCACTTGATGCATGGCAGCCCTTTGGAAGATACTGTTCTCCTATCTCTTTTTTATTTCTTCACCTGTCTTTTAAAGTAGAGGAAGATGGTTTAGCTCACATTTTGTATTCAGACTGTAGAATAGCCTCGGTGCCATAACCAGTGCTACAGAGACTGAAAGATCCCTGAGTTGCGTGAGTGATCGGGATGCTGCCCCACGACCAGTCCCAAGTGGGTGCTTCCTCCTCCGGGCGCTCACAAATACGAGAACAGGCTTCATGCACGGATATGAGCCACGAGTATCTCTGTTCGTAGAGTTGCCTTGTTTTTCTGGTCTTCAGAAGGAAGCAAGGTCATTCCATCGTTCACATGGCTCAGAACTGACTGCCGCATTGTTAAGATACATCTGCTGCTGGCATGAACCCCGGAGGAGGAGGGTTCGGGGGGAGAAGGGGAAGAAGAGTGTCAGCCCGGAGGCTGGGGCACGGTGCTTCAGGCAGAGGGACGGAGGGGAGGCGCTGATGGAAAGGATCGCCGGGGAGGGAGCGGAGGGCAGGCGGGCAGGGCAGGGCAGGGCTGAGGCGGCGGCGGGGCCGCAGCCCGCGCCGGGCCCCGCGGCGGGGCCGCAGCCGGGCCCCGAGGAGATCGACATGTCCCTGGGTAGGTGCGGGGCGCTGGCGGGGCCGGGCCGGGCCCTCCGTGCGGGCGGGGAGCGGGGTGGCTGTGCGGGATGGCTCGGGCCGGGCTCGGGCGGAGCTGGCCCCGCCGTGCGGGTGCCCTGTGCGGGCGGCGGGGCCGTGTGCGGGGCCCGGGCTCGGCGCTGGGCTGGCAGCAGCCCGCGGCTCACGGGAGAGCGGCCCGGGGGCTCAGGCAGAGCAGCCCCGGTGACAGGGGAACGGGGGCCATGGCCTCGCAGGGCTATTTATAGCAGCTCGCTCCGATGCTCGCCATTCCTTTGGCACGGGGAATGTGGACTGAGCATAAACAACCAACAACCGCCCTGTCATGAACTCCCCAGGCCTGGATTCTGACGCATGGATGAGAGATCTTGGTGGATTATCGTGTTGGTGTCTGTGCTGTGAAAGGAAAGTCCACCAGAACCTTTTGTTACTGGATCAGCTTCCTAACTGAAACCTTGTGTCATTTCTTCCCAGCGAAGAGTCATTTGTTGGGAATGAGGAACATTTTCCACTGCAAACTCAAACTGATCCCTGGCTTATGCACCCTTATTTTCATGTTTCTATGAGGAGCTATAGCAACAGTGGATCCCTCATTTTTTATTTATTTTTCTCTCATAGTGTTGCACACCCTTTTTGCTGATGTGTGATGCTGCCTTTGCTTTTGCTCTCCCTTAGTGCTTCTCTCAGTCAGACCTCCTGTGGTCCAACTCCATATTCCATCCAGAATACACCTTACTCAGGGTAGAAGAGAGAATTGGAAAACAAGAGGCCCCTGGTGAAGAACTTTTTCCATCAGGTGGTTTTTCTATGCTTTCAGATACATTTGTGCCTTACATGAGTTAGCAGTCACAAAAAACTTCAGGAGCTGCTTTAAAGCTGCCCTGATAGATCTAATTCTGCCTCGAGGGCATAAATGTACCATAAGTGACCTCTCAGGATCCCCTTGCAGCCTTGTGTGGTAGTTCATTACAGTGCTCTGTTAACCCCATCGTGTTTATGGGCACAAAATGCAGCGTAACAACTCATGCCCAAACAAAAAAGACACTGAAAGGTGACAGATCAGGCACCTGAGCATTCAGCCCCTCTCATTTCCTCATGCTGTGGACAGCCCACCCTTGGATGAGTGGGGTCACCTCCCTGCAGAGCGTGCAGGGATGCTTTCAAAACGCTTCAAAGCATCCTGTGCTCCAAATCACACATGTCCCAAAGGCACATTTAGCTGAGACCATTAGCAAATTCATCCCAGGAACATGGCCCAGCATCTGAAAGAGAAATCACAATAGCAGCGTGTTCTTACATGTGCTCTTGTTTCTTTTCCTTGGGCTTTGTATTCATTTGGGCACAGGAGTTTCTTGATAGGAAATGACAAGGGAGTAGTGCTGGAGGTCTGATAATTCATGGAAAGCACCCCCTGAAAGCTGATGGTCCTTCTGTCCTCTGACTCCAGTGATACATTAAGGAGCTGCAGTAGCCACTGCCTGGGAAAGGGCCTGTTTTGGATGCTTCATTTCTTGCTAATTCATTCAAGTTAAAACATTCTGCCTGCAGCTTCACAGATGTGCCTTTATTATTTTCAATTTGCAAAGATTTGCAAAGTATTTTCTGGAAGATTTGAGGTTAAAAGAAGAAAATGTTGGAAAATATTAATTAATGAAGAGACGTCCCTTTGCCTTTGCCATTCCTCTTCATCAGAACAGCTTGAATTAAGAGGATCCCATTGATTGCAGACCAGCTGATTGAGATTGAGGGGCCTGAGCTGTTTCTTGATAGAGCTCTGCATCTGACAGTACTTTGTGCATGATCCAAGTAGCTCAACAGCTGTCACATCATCCCCCCTTTGGCCACCTTTCCTACACCAATTCAAGTCAGACCTTCTCAGAAAAGTTATTAGCCTAGCACTGAGCTCCTGGTGTCCCTGCAAAAACATCTTGCCTTAGGCTTGTGGGAAGCCTGCAGGATCAGATCCCTCAGTGGATGGGATCTGAAATCTCTGTCCTGCCCGTGGTGGGGACGTGCTGGATGGTGGCACATTTATAAATCATTTGCTGCACTCTAATCTCCAGCCTGCAGGAGCCCTGTAAATGGATCCTATACTTTCTAAGCTAAGCTTAATCTTTCATTGTCTGCCCAGCGTAGCTCGCAGAGCAGCAAGCTCTGTGTTTACCATGGACAATTCCGAGCACCCAAAGAGGGAATGACAATTGGTGGAAAGTGCAGTTTCTATGGGTTTCTCCTCATTTCATTCCAGATGACATCATAAAGCGCCACAGGAAAGAGCAGACAGATGCCAGCGCCGTGGGCGACAGCAGAAGGCAGCAGGTCAAGAACAGGAGTTCAGCCTCCGGCTATGGGCGGCCCCGATACCGAGCCTGGAAGCAGAGGAATTTGCAAGGTAGATGGGCACTTGAAGCAGCAGAGGCTGGCCAGGCTGGGAAATGCATTTTTAGCAAAATCCAGCTCTTAAATCCTTCTCCTGTCCAATTTCTGTGCGCGTATAAGATGCGCTCAGGCTCTGATTAGCTTTTCTCCCCGTAACAATGGAATATCAGGGCCCTTTCAGAGCATAATTCATCCATTTCTCTCCCTTCCACTCTCATGAATTACTAATTTAAAGTGACTTAATATCTATTCTCTATTCCCCTTGGCTTTGCATATTTTAATTATGCCTCTTCCTAATCCTCATTTTCCCAGAGCAGACTGAAATTATCCAAATTACCCCCTCCGTAACTGTATTTGATAGCTCAGTTATTGAAGCTAAATTGTCACTTTTGCCAAGCATGCTATTTTTATGATGAGGGTTTTTTTTATAATACTGAGTGATCACACCTTTGCTTTGTTCCACTGGCTTTTACCTACAAACCAAAGTTATCTGCTACATGAAATGACATCTCTATGAACATTTTTTTTTTAATTACTGCTAAGTCACTCCCTGAAGATTTTAGTGATATTTTGCAGAAGTATCTTTGCAGTCATATATTGGAGTGCCAATCACAGATCAGGACAGTGGGATCACTGGAAGCAATCCTGCCTCCCACCTTTGTGTTCTTGGTGACCACCACAGAGTCCCTTACAGAGGATTGTTCTAGTTCAAATCATAATGGTGATAAATGGCCTTAGCAAATTGATTTTTCTGTCAAAACCCACGGGCTTTGATGTTCTCCTGCACTCAAGCAATTACTGCACCCAGAGGCAAATCCAAGAAAATATTTTTTCCCTATTTCTTAGATGGGAGAGCTTTTCTGTTAATTTATATAATTATTCCTGCATTTCATAGGTTTTCAGGGAGTCTGAATTCAGCCCTGCCAAGTGCAGAGACCTGCCATGCTGTGTGGTGCTGATTGTCAGTAGCAATTTGGGGAAGCTCAGCATGACTGGGAATTTAGCCCATAATTCATCAGGGGCTCAGTTCACTTTGGTCCCTGCTGAAATGCAGTCCCTTCTGGGCTGAGATGTGATAACCATTATCAAAATGATGATCTGAGGAGCCCAGCACTGTAATGACAGAGGAGGGGGAAGGGTATTATGCTGATTAAACCAGCAAGCAAAGTGCTGTTAATCCCTCTTGGAATATGGCTTAAACCTTCTCCCTAGTGGGGGAAAGATGATTTTTAATGACAAGAAATTTGAATTTCAAATCTCCTTGGAGAAAAGAGTCTGTCAGACATGGGAACTTGTGCCCAGACTGGACTGGCTGAGCAGAGGTGCCTTTTGGCCATCCCAGGTGTGCTTAGAGCCAGGCTCTGAGCAGACACCCAAACACGGGGTGTGTGTGTAGGGGTTCTTCCCCAGCTGCTGACGCTGTGGGGTTTTATTGAAATGTTCTTACATTATTAAATATCTGCCAGACCTTTTGCAGACATGAAGCCTCCCATGTGTCACACTTCAGGACACAGATGACAGAGCGAGGCCTTGGTCCCCAGCTGGTGTGATGGGGTCCCCCTTGGAGGCTGATGGCTCTGTCATGTGTTATTTGTGTTGGGTGAGCTGTGCCTGAGTGCACTGCTGAGTACAGGCTCTCTAATAGGAACTGACTGACAGGGACACGATTTTCTAGTCAGGGCTGCCTTCTGCAGCAGTCCCTCCCATTGCCCTGATGGAGTATCCAGGAAAGGCAGCTGAGCTCAGTCTGTTGTCCTCTCCAGGGTGTAGGAGAGCTGTGCAGCAAAGCTGGGTGTCCAGGTGGAGAGCAGCCCAGCAAACAGGCAAGAGATTGGGACAGGCCCAGGGTGGGGGCTGAAGAGAAACAAGGCAGGGCATAAACAGACGGGGGGAATAGAAACAGGAGAAAAAATCAAAGGGACATTGACTACAGAAAGTCCACGTGTGGTCAAAAAGAAACAGTTTACTAAAATGGAATGTTTGTCACAAGAGGAACATTTACATATCTGTACTTCTGCAATGAGAGGGCATTGTCTGCAAAGGAAATAACAACTGTCCCCAGAGCCTGTGAACTGTGTTGTGTTTTTGTGCACGTTCCCAACCAGCACCTCTGGCCATGGAACACAAAGCACCCCAACATGGTGTTTGGTTTCTGCTTCCCAAGGGCCTGTCCTGGTGCCCTTCTGTTTTAGAGCCAGAGGAGCTCAAATCATCTTCAAGCATGTTCCAGTGTAAGCAGCTCAGGCTGATGCTGGCTGGCGTTACACCCTGAGGCTGGAGCCTTCATTCATTGTGGCAGTGGTGGCCCCTCAGAGAATGCCACTGCTGCCTCAGAACACTTCATTTCCAGTTGCTCCAAGGCAGTATAAATTGCTGTCACATAGCAGTCGCTGTAAGATCAATATATGCACCTCACTGCTCTGTGCTTTGTGTCAGTGAGGTTCTGCTGTGAGATCCAGGGTTTGAGTGCACTCCCATTGCACTCTGCCATGCACAGCTTTGTGCCTGATTTATTCACCCCCGAGGTGTGGGCACATCTCACTGGTGTAGCAGCTGTTGGGGGGAATGGGCTCAAAACAGAGGGGCTTCAGTGACCTTGCAGCTGGGGATAACAAAGTGTGAAGCAGCAGTGAAGGAAACCACACATCTACTGCTGTTTACCCTCTGTGTGCACTGAGAAGCAGAACATCTGGTTATAGGTAGTGGAGGTGTTTGGTGACTTGGACATGCTTGAGCTCCCTGCCTTGGTACAGAGATCAGAACACAGCATGGTGGTGACCCTATGCAGGCAAATCCTTGATAAACTGGTGTGAAGGGCAGCCTGGTGATTCTCCAGCAATTGGCCAAGCTTAATGGTGCTGGTGCCCAAGTGGCTGTGCTTAGGTGTTGCTTCAGGGATCTGCTGCTTTGTGAGGTAACAGAAAAAAAATTCCATCTTGGCATTCCAGCTGTGGGTTTGTGATTGTTGCTGTTGTGCCTGTGTCAGTTCACACAGTGACTCAGAAATTTGCTGTCTCATTACGACTACAGAATTTTATTATGTGGAGTAATTAGATTTGGAAGCACTGTGCTTCAGTCTGACAGGGCTTTCCTCTCGCTCAACACTTCAGCAGTCTTCAAAATCATCAGCAGGCTTCGGGGAGAAGGTTAAATGCAGGCCGAGCAGCGGGTGTGTGTGTATCATAAAAGAACAGCAGGGGACTTCTCCTTCGATACGAGGAGCTATGGTATATCAAGCTAAAAGCAAACAAATATATGTATATATATATGCAAAAATAAAAATTATACTATGATGTGGGCCCTCAGAGCTGTTTCAGGGTGCTGTGGGGTTGGCTTTGGGATAATCAAGTCACGTGTATATCTGTATCTAAATGCTTTTTCTGTTTCATAGTTAATTCATAGCAGTGTGAGCTCTGACAACAGATTGACAGGTCTCCTGATGTGGGTGTTCCTGTCTTTATGAGGAATCAGAATTGTAAAAGGCTTTTCTCTTCTGTATTCTTTCACATCAAATAATGTGTATGGCAGTCCTATATACAGTAAGAGTCCTAGAGAGACATTGGAAAAAATAATTATTTCATTTAAATCAGCGTGACTTTTGCACCACTATTTCTGTAGTATCAGATTAAGTTCATTTTATAATCTATTTACAAAACTATAGTCATAAACCAAATTTTGAAAGATGCTAAAGTAAGAGGGCTTTGTTTTTAGGACCTCACCGTTTCAGAAGAGGCTTTGGACAGCAGCAGTTCAGTCGGAGACAATTCAGGAATGCCCTGCCTGGTCACAAGAGGAGAGCAGCTGCTGCATTCGATGGAGTGAGCCCTTTAAATCGCCCGGTGTCGGCTCAGGAGGTAGGGCAGTAAGGAAGGTATGGCTTTTCCCAAATGTCATGTAGAAATCTGCTCAGTTTTATGATCCTGGAGCACCACAAAGAGCAATCTACATAAAAAACATCTTTTAATGCCTGTGCACAGCATTTGTATGCATAGGTGAGTACAGACATACATGAATATGGAATAGCAATTTTACAGTTAGTTTTATAAAGCTTCTGACTTAGCATAATTTTACTGATCAGTTCCCATGAGCTTTGCTAAAAAAGATTTTTTTTAATTGGTATGAAAAGGTTTAAAAATATTTCCATAAAAATTAATTCCATGGCATCTCATCTTACTATTATCATTTAGAGGAGGTGTGTTAAGATTCTTTGTTATATGTTCTCCACCTGGAGCGTTTTCCAAGTTCCTGTGAAGTCAAAGGACAGACTTGGTGACTTGTCAGGTGACTGGTTCAGAGATATACTTTCACCAGAGACACTGATTCTCAGTACTGTGACAGATAGTGTGAGAGGCAGCTGGGTTTTCCTGCACTGATGAAAATCCTCTCAGTTAGGAGGTCACACATGTTCAGTGAGCTTTTTAAAAAAAATGCAAGTGCTGAGCAGGATGGCACATTTAGAGAATGTGTTGTAGGGGTATAAATAAGAAAGCCCTAAACTGAGCATGCATGTGCAAGGAGTGAGGTTATTCCTGAAAAGAAAGACCAGGATGACTCAGATATTGAGTGTGGTTGGTATTTACAGAGTAATAAGCAGTTGCTAGGAGGCAGAATTCTACAGTAACTTCCACTTTGCAGGAATAAACCAAGGGGGAAGAATATGGAAATAGACCTCAGTTAGTTGGAACTAACATGATGGTAGCTGTCCCACAGAAATCACCAGGCTGGAACCTGGGGCAGTGTGTGTTGGAACTGCAGGTCCACCCTGCTGAGGGATCTTCTGCTGTGTTCCATGCATCAGGGTGTGGTCCAGGCAATGCATGTGTCCAGACAAGAAGGAGCTGATGACCAAAAGGAACCTGAGCAGGGCTGTGATGCACAGCTTCTGTGAGACTTGCTCTGCATGGACTGATCTTTTATTTTTTTCTTTGGTTTCTGCAGCATTAGAATGAAATGTTCCCCCTGGCACCTGTAGTTCATGTGCAGGAGGAGGCACACCCCCTGACTGATGGTGGTCAGCAGAGAGCAGATCCTTGTGTGCTGTCCCTTGCCCTTACCCCCTGTTCTTGTACCAAGATTGTGCTGCAGGTGACAACTGCTGAGGTCTCACTGCTCTTTCAGGGCACCAAGAGCAATGCTTTTGACAAAAGCAGCAGTGGGCAGCAGGAGGAACAGCCACAGCCATCTCCGGGCCCCAAGAGATTCAGAGCAGATGCTGCCAGCATCCATTCCCCAGGGAGAAGGTAAAATCTTCAGTAACTCTGGGTTATTTTGGTTTTCAGTGGTTTTTACCTGTGCAACTCATGAGATTTCTCTCTCTGTATGTGCCAGCTGGGTGTGGCTACAGCCATGTGCATGTGCAGCACCAGAAAAATACCCCTGGGTATGTTAGGAAGGCACCTGGAAAGAAAACAGTCTCATGCTCATAGTTAATAATGGCAATATTAATCTGTGATTTTTTTTCAGGAAGCACAGAAAATGTGACCTTTGTATTTTTAATAAACTTCATTGCTTTGGGAGACACTTTTGAAGGGTAAAATGGCATTTATTTTCATACAGGCAGGAAATACAGATTCCAGCCATAAGGAATGGGCAGAGACAGGGCGTCTGTCCCAGTGAGGGGCTGCAGGAGCAGACTGTGCCCCAGGAGCTGTGAGGAAGGCAGTGTGCCAGGTGCTGGGCACTGTCTCGGTGCCTGTCTCATCAAGATCATTATGTTCTGAGCTCAAAAGGAAGCTTCTTGCAATCCTTCATCTGCTCTGAGCAGAACAGGGACTGAATAACACTGAGAGGTCCTTGCTGACCTGGTTTTTTCCTATGATTTTCCTCCCATGTTTTTTGCTTTTAATGAGCAAAGCTTAGAACAAACAAACTGTTGCCTCATTTGCGCAGAAAATCAAGTTCCTCTGAAATCCTTTGCTGGCAGAAAAACCTGTTGGGCTGAACTCGGTAACACACAGCCTCATTTGCTTCTTACACTGCTTTTTAAGACCAGCTTGGGTTAAGTATTTTGGCATTAAATGTTAGAGAGACCTGGTATCACGCTCACCTCTGTGTCTCTCCTTTAGCAGCAGGCCTTTCCTGCTGAACAGGGGACCAGCGTTCCAGCAGAAGCGGGTGCAGCAGTGGTTCTTCAAAGCCCGCTTCCAGAGAGGGGTCAGTATTTGAGATTTTCCTCTGCAATCTGCTGGTAGTGACAAACCTTCACATTTTACCAGCCCAGTTGTAGCTTTGCTTCCTAAAGTAACTGGGAGAGAGAGGTGGAAGACCTGAACGCTGCATGTATTGGTAGGAAAGTATTTGCAGGCAGTTTTTAATGCAGCTTGGTATTCTGGCAGCTGGGTAGTAAATCCTGGGAGGGTGATAAAAATAAACCTTGCAGTTTATAGAGCAGCACAAGCAGGGCAAGGTAAAGGCACACCATACACATCACTGTGCCAGTGGGAAACCCCAAATTATTTTCTTGACAACTCACAAGGAAGGAGTTGTCAGATACACCAAACAAAATCCTGGGAAAGGAATTACTGTTTCTGAGAGCTAATTCTTTTAAGTAATTGCTTTTAAATATATTTTACAGCAGATGGATTCTCAAGGAGAAGGGAAACCGCCAAGGATGAGAAGGTAATTGGTGAACAAAGGCACAATGCAAATAGACAGTGCTCTTTCAGGCTTGAAGCTGGATAAATCTCCCTGTCTCGGCAGGTGGCAAGTGAAACCCAGCCCGGGAGCAATTCTGACGGTTTCTGTGGTTAATCCCCAGGCGGGCCAGCCCAGTCTGTAAGTAAATGAGGTGATTTGTTAGGGTGGGAGCCCTACAAAAGCCATTGCAAATCCTTTTAGCATTATTGCAGCTTCACTTCTGTAATGAGCGTGCAGTGAATGGTTCAGATCCAAACTGGTTAGCAAATGATGTCTGCTTCCTTTCCCAGCATATCAGAAGGAGATAAAAATCTCCTGTATTTACCTGTAATTACATGGTAATCTGTTATTACCATGCCCTCATTTGTTATGCAGAGTGAGGAGAAATGGAAGCACCATTGTGGGAAGAGGTGGCAGGCTGGTTGTGCTGGTTGTGGGGTGTTGGGAGAAACAGCCATGCCCTAAAGGGACACCTTGTGCTGGCTGTGTAAGAGGAGCTCAGAGGCTGGAAAGGGGCAGCTGCAGGACCTGGCACCCAGCTGGGGGCAGAGAGAAGGGTGGATGAGGGCACTGTGCATGTCCTGGGTGCAGAGAGCTCCCCTCAATAGCCTGGATGTGACAGTCCCCAGTGCTGGAACTCTGCCTGCACGGCTGCTCTCCTGGCTCTGCCAGGGGCCAAACCCACCATGGGACGGGTGGAGTGTGCTGGTTTGCAGAGGATGGGAAGTGCTGCCTTAGCATCCTGAGTGACAGCAGCTCTGTGCTTTCCCCAGGCCTGGATCCAAGCACCCATTCCTGCGAAGCCAGAGACCCCCAGCCCGGGTGGCCAAGCCCCAGCCCAAGGGGGTGCTGCTGAGGTTCAACTTCCGCGCCATGGCCAACCAGGTAGAGGATTGTCGACAGGACAGGAGGCACCTGGCTCCCTGCAGCAGCCCTGCCACTGAGCTGTTAACGTCACACTCAGGTTTCTGGGGCTGCCAGCTGGGTTTATCTAACACAACCTGGGAGGAAAGTCCCGTAGCTGTGTTGGCCAGGTTGCTCACAAAACTGAAGGCACTTGAGAAGACTGTTCAGCAACTACAGACTCAGCCCAGTTTTCCCCAATCTGATGGCCTGTCTTGGCCTGTCCATGTGCTTGCTTGGAGCAGGGAGGTCCTGCTGATGAGTAGTCCTGGCCAGAGGGGACTGTTTCACTGTCAGTGCTTCCCATTCCTCAGAGACACGTGGCACTTCTGGGCTTTGCTCGCTCTTTGCTTTGGTGCCCTTCTTGGTGTCACATTTTACACTGAAGTATGGTCCAAGAGCCCTGGGGCAGCTGAGAAATCCTGTTCCACCTTCTTCATTGCCGGCGTTTCTTGTCTGGACCGTTTGGTTTTACCTGATGCCTTGTGCTCAATTGCCATCTGCTTGCTCCTGTTCTTGCCGAGGACGCCCTGTGTCTTGGGGCTGGGAGCTGCTTGGAGGTTTTCCAGCCGCACACAGTCTGTCGAGCTCCCTGTCTCTGTGTGCTGAGTGGTTTAATTGACTAACCAGCTGTGAATCACCAGCCTGACTGATGGGCTCTAATCAATACCCTGCTACAAGTTTGGCTGTGCTTTGCCACGAGACAGGGGACTGACTCGCTCTCGCTTTCCCCTGCAGACCAGCCTGACGCTGGATGAGAGGTTCTCTGGTCTGAGGAATAAGAGGCGCTTTACAGCGGCCAGGAGCGCCGGACGGACGGTCACCATGCCTTAGGACCGCGTGCTCGTCACAGGGACTGCCTGTGACAGTCCAGGCTCCATGACAAGGCCTCAATAAAAGTTGCTAGATTCCCTTTGAGATAGCTGATTTGGCAATGTGCTGTCTCCTTCCTTACACACAGAGTGCATGAGTGATTGAGGGCAGGGATTAGGCAGGATGAGAGTTTACCAGAGCACAAGGCAGGTGGGACAGGGGCAGGGTGGTGGAGGGGGATGAGCAGAAATGGATTTGCTGGGAGAGCTCTGCTGGGAAGCTGTAGGGCTGGCACCAGCCCTGTCCCCCTGCCAGGGCACCCTGTGCTGAGCAGGGTGATGGCTGACAGCGGGAGGGTATCCCACGGAGACTTCTCTACATTGTCTGTGGGTGGGAGGGTTTGAGGATGATGTGCCTGCCCACACGTGAGACAGAGGAAAGTGGGGATGGTACAGCTGCCCACAATCACCAACATCCACCCAGCTGCCCAACTTGTGCCTGCAGGCATCCCTGCCCAGAGGTTTGCAGTGTAAGACCCCTCCACCTTGAAAATCTGTTGCTTTGCCCTGGCAGTCAGGCCTGAGCACCTTGCATTTCTCTGTGGATTGCTGTGCTGTTCTGACTGCTGCTGCAGGGATGGGGTGAGATGGGCCATGCCATGCTGCTGGAGTAACTGTCCCCAGCACGGAGCAAGACAGGCTGCCCCAGCCCAGATCACATTTTCCAGTGCTGAGTAGTTCTGCATTAGGGTTTTTGTAGTTGCAGCTCCACCCATGCTCAAAGCAGCAGCATAATCAAACCAGCAGCAGCACTCTGATAAACATTGGGTGAGATGTTAATGAGCTGGGTTTAGACATTTGTTAATGAAGCCCTGCATCAACCCTGAGTAACTGCTCCATTCTCCAACCACTGCTGGAACCCAGCACTGAACATGCTGGACACAGCCTGTTACTGGGCTCTAAGCTGTACTTATAACAGGAAATATTCGATAGACTGCTTTACTTTTTACACTGAGCATCTTTAACAAGAGACTGGACTTGGCATTGGTTTTATAGGAATGTGTGAAATGTTAGTTGACGAAGCAGTGATGTATGAGTCCAGTGCACTGAATAAAAAACTTAACTTGTCAAATGTCACCTCTGGTTATTTCCTTTCCTTCAACAGCTCTTTGGTGCAAGTTCATCTTCTGTGTGACACTACATGGCCTGGTGCAGTTTACTGCTTTAAAAGCTGGCTTCAAAGCAGTGTGAGGTTTTCAACAGGTATTTTGTAAAATCTTTGCTGTGATCTCTTATGCCTTGAATGTCATTGGCAAAATTATCAGAGCAGTCCTGGCTCTGGGTATATTAAAAATTAAACAAATGCAACCCAACATCCAGGTTAATGAACTCTGTAGGAGACATCACCCCTTCCTGCAAATAATCTGTATGTCACGGAAGTTAAAAAGTTGAACAAGAAACACAAATGGCAGTATCCCTGATTTCAGTTACCTCCTGACTGTAAATGTGGACAGAACGCGGCACACTCACTAGGAAAGCCCAAGCACTTCTTCAGTCAGGTTGCAAAGGGATGGAGCCATTCAGTCCTGAAAGAACAGCTGAGTGGGAAACATCCTTTTGCTCTTCAGATTGCATGTTGATTATATTCTCCAAAGAAACATTTTTTAGCAATCTGTACCTTATAATCTTTCAACCACTCTTTATATTGAGGGCTTAGGTGATAAAAACTGCTTTTTTTCCTAGCTTGATTCCCTTGCAGTGCTGGGTGACTTTTTATGTAGCAGGAGATATAAAAGGCTTTGCACTGAATTCACAGGCAGCCAAAATGCATAAGCATCACACAAAAAACATAGTGGGAGAGGGCACAGTGTGAGCTCAGCCCAACAGGCATAAAATACCCCATTATGCCACAGTACTAAACCCACAGAATAATTGTCTCTAACAGAATTATCCCCGCTGTTGTGCACAGGGTGAACTGCTGCACAGGGCTTGCCTGTCCTTTGAGAGGGTATTCATGTGACACAGTTCAGCTGCTTCCTGAGCCATCCCAGGGCACATGTGGCCTGTGCTCATCCAGTGTCTGACAGCTCCTGTGCACTGTGAGGACAGGTGGCCTGGCAGTTCCCCACCTGGGGAGTGGCAGCAGCTGCCTTTGGCCAGGATGGCTGCACACAGGCTGGGGCCACTGTGAAGGGGCAGCTCTGTGACCTGGAAAACTTCTGCTCTCTTTCACGCCAGGCAGCACCACCTCCAGAGTAACATCTCCAATGGTGTCTGAGAAGTTTAAAAATGAAGGAGCAACTGCACAGGGTTAGAAGAAAGTCCCCACAGTGCATCCCAGGGCAAGGGGACACCAGCATAGGTGTGTGGTGTGGCCCTGCTTGGTCACTGCACTGAACCCACACTACCACTGACCTGTGTCTTTAGCCACTTGCATCATTGCATTTCACAGCACTTAGTGGAGAATTCTTCCAGTATTGCTTTTTGCTTTCTATTTATCTGTAATTCCAAAGGTCCCCTACACTGCTTCACTCCTGCCAGCTGCAGAGCCACTGTGCCTCCTGCTCCATGTCTGCAGACAAAATCATCCTACAAACTTGGCCCAACACCAGTCTGAGTTTATTCCCACTCCACCCTCTGTGGCTGGAACCTCAAGCAAGGGCAGCAGTCAGCAGTATTTATGCAGGTTGGCCTGATTTTCGTGTTGGGAATCCAGGGAATGATTGTTTTTTTCAGGGCAAGAGCAGAAGCTGTGGCCCAGGCAGGCTGACTGGCAGATATTCATCTGAAAGCTTGAATGCCACAGCCCCCAGGAGTACCCAGAGCTGGGGCCAGAGGAGGCAGCCAGCCACACTGTCTGCAGGTGACAGTGGGACCCCTTTGCCCCACGGCTGCATTTTGCACACAGAGCTCCTCGCTGGAAGGGCAGTCTGTGTGCCAGGACAGGGCGATCCCCAAACCCGCACAGCGCTGCACTGAGCCCTTCACTGCTCAGGAGCTGCTCTCTGATCCTGGCTCACTGCTTCTGCTGAATGTCACCCAGACATCAGCCACACTGTATTTCAGGTCTGGTCCTTCAGTGATCAATAATGGCTCAGCTGTCTGTCAGTGACGTGTTGCTGGCTGAAGGCCAGTCTCTTCCATACCCCCTAGAGAGGGAATTTCCCTTAGATCCCCCAATTAGGCATGACATATGCATGCAAAAATAAACAAAAAACCAACCCAAACCGATTCAAGGATCTTGCTGAGGTTCAAGGCTTAAAAGCAGATTCTGCTCATCAAACATATGACAATTGCATTAAAATGTGGGTCTATGAGGCTTTCTTTAGCATTTCCTAAGCACAGCTCAGAGCAATTTTTGGAAGAGAAATATGCAACAATGACTGACAAGGACTGATTGCATGGTAGGAGAGGTAATTCTGCATGCACCCAGTATGCCAGCAGCTCTGTAGCATTTTATTCAGGTAACTGGGCCCTGGCCCTCGCAAGGGGCTTCTGATTTATGTCTGTGCACTGCCCTTTCCCATTCTGAGCTCGGCGCATTCGTGTCTGTGGGGCTTTTGCGAGCGTTCCTTCACCCATTTCAGGGCGAGCCGCTCGCTCGTCTGCCTTTGTTCAGCCACAGACAATTCGCGGGTGATTTTTGTCGCTGCCACACGCGGGGATCCGTGGCCGGCTGTGCCGGTGCCCGGGTTTGCGAGGCAGAGGCCACGGAGGCTCCGCTGCTGCCGGCACGGGAGAGCTGCGGGCCTGAGCAGCGGCCGCTGCTGTGCGGGGCCGGGGCAGCGGCGACGGCAGCGGCGAGCGGTGCGTGAGGGCAGCGGCAGCGCCGAGCGGCCCCGGGGCCGGGCAGAGCCGCGCTCGCAGCGGGGCCGGGGCTGCCGAGCCGCTGCTCCCCGCGTTCCTGCGGCTCCGAAGTCTCTCGGCAGCCGCGCCCTCCCGAACGGCGCCCGCCACGGCCGCTCCCGTCCCGGCTACGGGACCCTCCTGCCGGGCATCCCCCGCTCCCGGGATGCCTCCGTTGCCAAGAGGATCCGTTTCAATGAAAGAACTCCTGCTGGGATATTGTGAAAGCAGAACGCTCTCTCGGGGCTGCCTCGTTGCTTGGGATTTTCCAGCAGAAACAGTTTGTTTTCCTGATAGCATCTGGTTAATTTTACGTCTCCCGTTGCAGGGCACCTCAGGCGTGGCTAACGAGAAGCTCCTCCTTTAGTGAGTGGAAAGGAACCTTTGGTGTGTTGTAACCGAGTGCCAGCCTGGTGAGCTGACCGAAAGTTCCTGTCAGTGTCTTTGTAGCAGCAGAAGCTGAAGGATCCCTGCCTGTTTTCTCCTCTTCTGTTGAAGAGCTTTTGAACAGCTGCCAGAATGATTTTGCATACTGAAGATTGCATGATGGTTTTAGCCACAGTGGAGAATCTAATTCACAAGCATAAGTGGCAATGTCTGCTTTAGCCTACTGTTAGTTTGCACACCCCAGAATGCTATTTCTCCTTAGTGCAGCTGGATGTGTACCTGAGGATAAATAAGTCATAAATGTGATACAACTTCTTGTCTCTCACGCTACTGTTTGTCCACAAAGCACAGAAGCTGCATCAGGAGCTCCTCTAGCTCTGTCTGTCTCCAAAGAGGAGGCTAAAGAGCAGAAAGACAAGAAGGCTGGGGAGGAGGAACAAAGTGAACTTCCCTCTGTTCTTGGAGACAACATGAACTTGAAGATGGTGGTGAATTTCCCACCATTCTGGAAGATGACAGCAAGGCTCCAGCAGTGTGGATGGAGGACAGGGAATGTCTTGCAGTGTGGGATGAGGAGTGGGAATGTCTTGTCGCATGGGAAGAAGGAGAGCAAAGATCTCACAGTGTGGGAAGAGGAGGGCAGACAGCCAGCAGCGTGGGACCAGGACGGGAACATCCAGTGGAGTGGGAAGAGGACAGCAAACATCACACCATGGGGGAAGGGGAGGAACAGCATCTCTCTGTGTGGGAAGAGCACCATGAACATCCCTCTGTTTGGGAAGAGGATGGAGAAGCACTGCCTTTTTGGGAAGAGGACAGTGAGCCTCCCTCTGTCTGGGAAGAGGGCATTGAACCTCCCTTTGTCTGGGAAGAGGACAGTGAACCTCCCTCTGCTGAGGCATCATGGGCTGAGTATTCTGACAGCAGCACAGCCTCGCAGCCAGAGGGGAGAGGAGAGAGGTGCCTGCTGCAGCTGAGCACATCTGCTCTCTGTCTTGTCTGCCAGAGCAGGGTGTGGGGGGTGTGTCTGAGCATCAGCTGTGCTCAGTGTTCCTCTGCAGCTGAATGTCACAGAGTCCTTTACTGCTCTTGCCCACCTGAGTACAAGGGGCTCAGAGCCCCAGAGAGTGCAGCTGCATTTTGGCTCTGCTGCAAGGCAGGATCTCCCTCTTGGAGTGACAGTCTTTCCTGTTGTTTTTTCAGGGAACACTCTGAGCGTGGGGGAGCCTGCCAAGAAACACACTGAAGTTGAGCCAGTTGGCCAAGGGTAAGTTCAAGTCAGTGACTTCTTGGCAGTGATATCTTTCAGAGCAGGACATGCTGGTGTGGTCTTAATCTCTAAAAATGTTAATGCATCAGCTGGTGGAGGCTGCCATTATTGAGGCCCAGTTTATCTCAGTCCCAGGTTAGAACAGTAACACTGTTAAGCATTTTTTTCCATCCTACATTTCATCCTGAAAGGATACTGCAAGAACTAATTAAGGAGAGACCTTGCTTGGGATCAGTTTTGGGTTTTAGTCCTCCTGCAGCGAATTCACAGAGGGAGAGATAAATGTGCAGATTCCAAGGACAGTGTAGCTACAGGAATGTATCTCCATTTTACTCTGTGTTCATTTGCAAATGACTGGAAGCAAAACTCCTCTGTAGTCTTTTCCATAAGGTAATTTAGCTGTAAGGTAATTAATCTCCATGCCATTGTCTTCTTCTTTCAGCTGCCTTGTTGATGAAGATCTCTGGTTGGCGATGGAGTGCATGTATGGAGGAACTTCACAGGATGTTGTAAGACATAGAGGTCTGGCTGAAGGAGGAATGGCAGCTGTGAGGTGAGGGCTCCTGCTTGTGCTGCCCATGGCTTGGACATGATGGTCCTTGGAAAGAGATGGTGAGAACAGGAATGGCTTCATGCTCAGAGCTTTGTTTCTCTGTTGTTTTTATGCCCTGGAGAAGAGACAGCCTCTTAAATGAACTGCCTGTCAGTATCCCTGCACTTCTGCTCTTTCTCTTCTAGTACTTTTTCATACTATTGTACTGTCACTCTTTTGATTCTGTTGCTGTTCTCAACTTTGCCTTGGACCCTTTGTCTGGAGTTTGCACTGCACTCCTTGCTGGTCAAAGCAAAGTTGCTGGTGGCATAATTTGTAAACTGTACTTTCTTCTGTTGTATATTCAAGTTGTTAATTTTTATCCTTGTGTTTTTTGAATAAAAACTCTGTTAAACCTTAACTCCTTTGAAGTGTCCCATCTTTATCACCTTGTGATTCAGCTGACTGGAGCAATGTGAGGGGAGGGTGGGCCCAGCCATGCTCAGAGCTGAGTGCCAGCAGAGCCCAGAGCAGCCTCAGCATCTGCAGAGGCGGGATGGAGGGAGACCCTTGTAGCCTTCTCGAGTGCATCTGATTCCTGTTTACAAACTCTGGGTGGTGAAAAATGCCCCTGGTGCTGGAAGAAAGGGGCCTGGGGCCAGGCCCAACTGTTCCATACAAAGGAAAAGCTCAGCCACTGGCCGCGAAAACCTATACCTTTATCCCCTCCCACTTCGGCCGAAACCTTGACTCATAAGCCGAGTCAAAAAAGGGCAGGGGAGGAGCTCGGGCCGCTCCGTCTCTGCCAACCCGAGTGTCCTTTGCGCGGTTCTGAGCCCCCCGGGCTTTGCTGGCCCCACGGGTGTTTCCGTGGTGCTGGCTCCCCGCAGCCCAGGCCCATCCCGGCACAGGGGGATGCGATCCGGGATACACATTTGGTGGCCACCTGCGAGCCAAGAGAAGCATCGGTCTGAGCTCGCCGCCCGCCCTGTCCTCCTCTGCCCTTCTCCCTCCGGCCCCGCCGCTCACCGGGGGTGCCCGAGCAGGTTCTCCCGAAGCCGCCGCTTCCCAGCAGGGAACGCAGCCCGTACTGCTCCTGCGGGGCCTCCTTCGCCTTCCCCGCGGGCCACACGCTCTGTCAGCGTTCGGCCCAGCTCCAGCGCCCGCCTTCTCCAGCGGGGTGCCGAGCGGCGGAGCTCGGGCCGGGGACCCCGGGAGGTGTCCGCAGCTCACCTGTGTCCCCCCTGGAGCCACGGCGAGCCAGGCGGGGACAGGCGGGACAGCTCCGGGTGGCATCAGCTCCACCGGTGCCCGCCCAGCAGCGCCGCAGCCAGAACGGCCAGAGCCGGGCGGGGAGGGAGCGGCGGGTGGAGCGGGAGACCGCGAGAGGGACAGGGACCCTGGCAGAGGGACGGGACCGGGAACGGGAGGGTAACAGCGGCAGCGGGGCGCTGGAGGCGCAGCCGCCGCCTCCGCGGGGCTGCCGGAGCGCCGAGACCGTGCGTCCGCTAGTTCGAGTTCCTGTTAGTCCGTGTGTCCATTAGTCCGTGTGTCCGTTAATCCGTGTGTCTGTGTGTCAGTTGGTCCGTTTGTCTTTTAGTCCGTGTGCCCGCTGGTCCGTGTGTCCGCTAGTCCGTGTCCGTTAGTCCGTGTGTCTGTGTGTCCGTTAGTCCGTGTCCGTTAGTCCGTGTGTCTGTGTGTCCGTTAGTCCGTGTGTCCGTTAGTCCGCGTCCGTTAGTCCGTGTGTCTGTCCGTTAGTCCGTGTGTCCGTTCCCCACCGGCCGAGCCCCGCGGGGCCGCTGAGTTGGGGAGGACCCTCCAGGCTCGTCCGTGCATCATTTATGCATCATTTGAGCTTAATTAAAGACGCCGTGATTGACGAATCGACAATGAATACCTGCCCCCGTTAGGTTTTTAAATATCTCCTGAGAGGCTCGATGCCTTTATGGGGGCCTACACTGGCTGTTCTACACTTTCTTGAATGTAAAAATCCTTAACTGATTGTAGGAATTGTAACCGTGGCAATGCACAAACATGCCATGAGATGGCGAGTTGTGACTGCATTGGGCTCCTCATACTCGTCTCGAAACTCCAGCGAGGCAGACACCGGGAAAAAACATATTATGATCGCTGGGATGGGGAAGGAACGTTCACAAAACTAATCTAATGTTCATTTTATCAAGATTAAAAATAGTTTTGAATCTATTCATTTTCTCTGCATTTTAACTTGCTGGGGTTCTCTGACACACGAGAGCTATTTTCCACAGTAGTTTCTGGTTTGTTTTAAAAAGTAAAAATAAAAATTGAGGCAAAACCTGATATTCTGTTTCTTAAATATATGCTAAGTATTTTGGGAACTACTAGTTAAAGTAAAAATTAATGAACCTAAGTTTATTGTTTCTTTTTGTGGGAGACACGAGTCAAAAGCTGGAGACCAGTGACTGTATTCAAGAGTAGAAATATAAGAACATTCCTACCTCTCCATTGCCATTCCTGTCTGATTCTTACACCATCATTCTCACCACTGCAGGAAACCTGTTCAGTTTTGGCCACAGGTACAATTATTTTCAAGATAAATTACTTATCAAAATGTGAGGTAATATAATTATTGAATAAAGGCAATTATTACACATCTTACAGAGCTAACATTTCAACAGAAAGGGGACTGCATTCTACACTTTATTAAGCCAAGTCTTGATCAAAACACTTGAAGTCAGTTTAACAAACAATGTCAAGGCTGTTTATCAAACTAAAACTGCTGAAAGGCAAGGCAGGGGAGAGCAGCTGTAAGAACTTGGAAGTAGCAAGAGTCCAGGTTAGGAATCAAGAGAGAAACCCTGGTTACAATAAAGCCTCAGGGAATTCTGCCTTCAATTCCCATGGCTTTCACTTGCATGTCGTGTGAACGACCTCTGTCAACATTTATCCCTGCCCATGTTTGCTACTTTCTCCTCAGGAAATGTCTTTGCAGTTCATCTTGTCTGTTAGGATTCATTCTGTACAACAGAAATCCCCTCAAACTGCTGAGACCGAGCTCCTCCAGCAAGGAATAACATTCTCTACACTCTGTGAGTCTGAGTGACAGCCAGTATCACAGTACAGTGCATCCATTCACGAACATTTACATCATTTATATCCAGCCCTTCATCTTTCAGCAACACTTAACTGGCTCGGTGACTAAAGAGCCCTGCCAGCCCCCGGTGACAGTGACGGGCAGTGATAACCAGCCTGCTGACAGCCTGCCTCACGTGGGCTTGTTTAAAGAGATCATCAGCAATCCTACACCTCCAGTACAGCTCCACTGCTGCTGGCTTCTCTGAGGTAGACCTTGAAGGTCAAAGAAAACATAGCTCTGTTTTTGGGATAATAGGGGTGTCTGGCTGCCTTTATTCCAGTCCATGATGAGTGTCGAATCAACTTCAACACAACCAGGGTTTTATTAGGGCTGGACTTCAAACGTCATAAAACATCAGCTGCTCACAGGAAGCTGAGCTGCTGGTGGTCTGCCTCACTTTCTGTGAAAAGACAGGACAAATTAGGAGAGGTTGTGCTCTAAATTGCTAGAGAACATAAAATTATTTACTTGTTCATCATTTGTCAACTCCCTGCTTCCTTGTATTCTGCTTTCTCTTTACAGCATGAAATGCTTCACTTCTGTTTGAGTACATACAATATATATTCATGGAAATCAACATCCACAGGCCTTTTTTCCACAGAGATTTGAATAAGGTGCAGTTATATCTACATGTTTTATATTTAAAATACTCTATTCTGTCCATTTCTGAATTATTCAGTAATAGTTCTCTTTAGTTACAAGAAACAAAACCTTTCTATTTATGCACAGATAGCATTCCATTAACTGTAGTTACATTTAATCTTTTTGCAATTAAAACATTTAATCCCAAATGCTAAGAAGATGTCTTTGGAGACCATTAATTTGAAAATTTGTTTACAATTTTTGAATAGGATCTGAGGATGCTAACTTTCAACCCTGAGAAAACCACCTCACTTTTTATTTAAATTAAGCTTTCATGGACTTAAAATCCAATTTAAATATTCATGACAAATATGCTCCTTGTTTGGGGAAAAATGCATGCATTAAAAGGCATGCTGATTAAACTGAATGTAGGTTTAATGGAAACAGGTAAACACTTGATTAGTGGCCAGTAAAAATCAGTTTTAATTTACATAAAAACTCATCTTCTCTTTGAACCCAAGGTCTAGCTCATTTAACTTTATGTTGCTCGACATAAATAATTTTAGTATTGTTATATCATTGCTAATGACTTTCAGCAGATTCTCATCACATATTCTGACACAGGGTTTACAACTTTGATGTTAAAAGAGAAGTTAAATACTAAAGGATGAAGAAAAAGTTTTTTTTTTGCTACATATTTAATTTTTAAATTGTTTGTGCTAAACTGTCCGTAATTGGGTTTTTTTTGAAGTTCTTTGTTTGGAAATAGCTCTTGCTTAATCAGCAAGCCTGGTTTAACACATGAGATTTGCAGATAACAGATATCCAGTAAGAATGAGTTCAATATGCTGCTCTCAGTCCCAGCCATGCAGCAAGGGAACAATGTCAGCCAGTGAGGAGCCACCTGTGTGTGTGTGAACACAGACAGTGCCACTCGCAGCTGTCATCAATTTGCTGCTTGTGGCAGAAATAACCTGACACCCCAAGAAAATGATTTGGCAAAAAGGAAACACTTCAGAGTCATCACTCATGGCTCCAGCAGAGCAGAGCTGACTGGGAAAACAGTTTGCTGTTGTTTTTGTTTGTTTTTAAACTGAGCATTTGTGCAGTGGCATCTTTCAGTTTAGGACTCCAGATATATCAAACAAAACAATAAGTTTTAGCATCAGCTATCAAATTCTTATTTAATATGTAGGGTTCCGAATTCAGCAATGAGACAAATCTTCCATTTTGCCAGAAATCAATATCTAATTTACCTTAGCAGTGCTTCAGAAACATTGGAAGTTATCACTAAAGTGGGTATCTGTGCTAGCTCATTCACAACTTGTAACTCAAAAAATCTATTTTAAAGACATGCTATGCAGTATAAAATATTACACACAAATGAGTTTGAAACAACAGGAATATATTTCATTAGCAACTCTCATTTCAGAAAGATCATCTTGTCTATGCATTAATTCCACTGCCCTTTGTGCAAATGAATTTAGATCCCCTGTGCTCTGGGTCAGTGAAGCACTAAGGCCTGAACAACAGACTCAAGCCAAAGCTGACCTCTAGATGAACTTTCCAACTAAATGTTAAATATAGTTGCTCATTAACAAAGTATTGTTATATGTGTTCATTTATTAGCAAAACGTGATCACCTTTCTTTATCTAGAAACAGGACAAGGCTACAACTGGCCTGATTAGGTGGTATAGGATCAAAAACAACTCCCTTGGATCCT